TGGCCGTTTTCAGCAGCGGCTGAATCAGGGACGCCTGGGGCGCCGGACTATCGGAAGGGGGGACTTTGAGGGGTCTAGGGTGGTGGTGGGGATGCCACCCCAGACCCCTCATAGCGCCGCCCCCCGATAGTCCGGCATATCTGATAATCCGGCACCCCCTGGGTCCCAAAGGTGCTGGATTATCGGAAGTTTACTGTATTTTGTTCTTTCAATTATTTTTTCTTTAAAAAAAACCCCCTGTTTTAAAAGCACTCTGAATTTGATGCAAAATATGTTTAGGCCTAAACTTATAGTCTCTTAAAATATTTTCAATTGATAAATAAATATGCTGAAGCACCACTTTTCTTTGTAAAGAAAGATTTGGGGGAATTTCAAGTCAAGCTTTATAAATATGGCACAATAGTGGTAAATAAGCAATACATTCACCATTTTCTAATATACTAATTATGTACAGTTCATCATAATCTGAAAATAGTATGTTGTTGCTTAAATAAACATGTATAATTATACCCAAATAGGTAGCAAAAGATATATCAAATCTAATGTAAAGGCTCTGTGTCAGTGTAAATCACCATGTTTTAATCCTTGTCACCTAGTAAAAATGCACCTTTCTTTAGAAAATAACTGAAGTGCAAATGGAAATGTTGATTGAAATAGATTTAAATTGAGGCTTTTCTCTTGGTGATTAATATTAATCCACCATGTTTAGAAGAAGAAGTTCCCTGCTATTTCCCTGGAGTAGAAGAAATAATCTTCACTACTACTCTGGGCCCTTGATCTGTGGGGTTGACTGGTCACAATAGAAGGGTCTTGTGATGGGCCTTTTTGTGACATAGTGAATCATGCAGGAGTTACCAGGCAACAAAGGGACAAATGGTCACTCTCAAAGGGTTGAAAGGTCAGCTCCAAAACTGTGCAAATGGAGCATAAAGTGATCAACCCATGACAATCTACAGATTTTCTGGATAGCATCTGAACTGTGCAGAGCACTTGTTGATCCCCTGCTCTTGGTACGGTTTTTAGCTCAGCTACTTAAATGTATTAATCGCATTTCATAAACTTGAATAAAGGCACCCTGAAATATGTTCCGTTCCTGTTAATTGCAGTTACTAGATTTGAGGCCAAAAGGCATTGTGTTTGGGCTTTAGGGAGGAAAGGATTACGGGTAAAGAGAGGCTTTCTAGGCCCCCTCTACTATTCACACAGCCTGTTGGAGGTTACAGTATGGTAACAGTAGTTTCACTCTGATTCAGGGTAATAATTGCAAAGCAGCTTCCAGAGGGATTCCAAATGGAAACAGCTTCTCCCTGCAGAAAGTAGAAGGCACAGTCCAAAGAGTAGAGACAAACGTGGCTCAGCGTAATGGCTCCTCTTTCCCGTCTCACCCACCGGATCGAAGAATCAAGGTAAATGATCAGCAAGCTGAACACAAAGTGCTAAAGGAAGGAGTGCAGAGTTCTGCACCAACTCCAAGGTGGAATTGCTGTTCTGTTTTAAGAAGGGAGAGGTTTGAAATTCAGCCAGAGTAGTGCAGGGCTTCTGCAATATGGGTATCTGTAAACTTGTTCTGGTGTGTTGTAGACGGAGACATTCACAGAAAATGTTGAAAATTTAAGAGTGAATTATTTAATTTGACCATGTCTGAAACATCAGAGTTCCTGTAGCAAACTGGACAAACTCTCTGAAAATTCCATACACAACTGTGAAAGGAGAGGGAATCTCTCAAAAGTCAGGAGAAGCTATTTCCTGTGTCTTCATTCTGCTCTTTGTGCATATGTTAGTCCACTGCTGTCTTTAGTAAACTCATCAGACTGTATCAAATAATAGTCTTGAGCATGTTTTTAACTATACTCTTATTGTCATTCTTTTCTTTAGTTTCTTTATTGACCTAAGCTTTTTATCTGTTGATTTCTTTTTTCTCTAATACCTGAATTGTAATAATTTATTAGTTTGGGAACTGAGGCAATTAACTACACAGCTAACTTAACTTAGGGTATGTCTACACTACAGCACTAATTCGAACTAACTTAGTTGGAATTAGTTAATTCGAACTAAGCTAATTCGAACTAGCGCATCTAGAACTAAAAACTAGTTCAAATTCGCGTTTTGCTAATTCGAACTAGCGCGTCCACACTGATTGGACGCAGGGGGGCATTTAAGGGCAGCTGAAACAGGTTCTGGCAGGGCATCAGGTCAGTAGTTGCTTTGTGTGGCTGCTGTCTGAGGCTCTCTGAGCCTCGAGAGCTTAAAGGGAAGCTAATTCGAACTAGCGCATCTAGAACTAAAAACTAGTTCAAATTCGCGTTTTGCTAATTCGAACTAGCGCGTCCACACTGATTGGACGCAGGGGGGCATTTAAGGGCAGCTGAAACAGGTTCTGGCAGGGCATCAGGTCAGTAGTTGCTTTGTGTGGCTGCTGTCTGAGGCTCTCTGAGCCTCGAGAGCTTAAAGGGCCCCCCGGGCAGCCGGTTCTCAGCTTTTCTTGCTTCCTTGCCAACCTCGCCGAGGGACAGCAAAGCGTTGGTCTCTGTGCCCGTCTGTGTCAGTGCTTCCCTTTGGGGGGGAAAATAGGAGTCAGTGGGAGATTGTGCGGGTTGGTGGAGAGGAGCAACTTGGCAAACAGCAGATAGTAGGGGACTTGGTAGAAGGGGTGGGACAGGGACAGGAAGGGGTGGAGCAAGCATGAGTTGGGGGGGGAAGTAGTGCGGGCAGGAAGAGATGCAGTATGGGCAGGTCCATATTGAAAGAATGGGAGTAGGGACTTGTAGTGGAGCACACGAGGGGCCCCAGCATCTGCACTCTCAAAGGCAGCAGCTGTTTGGGGGCCCTTAGCTTCCCCTGGCCTATTATATCCACCACCTATAATTGTAATACTGTAATTTGGAGGGGAAGGAGCTGTCTCTATAATTAGGATAGCCAGGTGTACCTCCAAGTTCTCTGTGCCACATCGCAGTACATTGCTCTATGTACTGCTGGTACCATTCTGCATGCATATCTTCAGAGCTTTCTCTCCTGAGGCAGTATGAAATAAACTACCCAAAATTAACGGATTCAAACACAGCAAACATTGTAGGTGTGAATGGAGAAATATGCTTCACAGATGGTTGTGTTGTGAAAAAAGTTGATGTATAGCACAACTTTATATTTGTTGTGAACAATCCAGATTACAGTATGACTAACCAGTCACTTGTAGCACAGATATTAACTAAATGTTGCTTTTTCCACAAGGCCCAAAAATACAAATCCAAGCCAGTAACTGCTGGCACTATTCCATTCCAAACAAATCAAAATATTTCCCAAATTAGCACCATTCTCACTGATTTGTGCATGAGATTACACAGGACTATTTTTAGTCGGTAAGCCCTGTTGGGCAGGAGTCTTTTCCTCTTATAAAGCACCATATACTTAGCTGTTGGTACTCAACAAATAATACACTAAACATTGTTACAATAAGGTATTCTATTGAGCACACACAACTAATAATCTTGTGACTTTGAGTATTAAGGACTATTTTTTCAAGGCCCAAAAATGCTGGATGTAACTTTGTCCCAACATCTGCAGCAAGTTCTTATGCTACACAAACTGTGAGGATTGGAATCACGCAGGGACTGAATACAATTTAATAAAGTAAAGGATGGTAATGTAATTAATGCAAATCAACATGGGTTTATGAAAATAGAGCCTGTCAAACTAACTTTATATCTTACTTTTATGAGATTACAGGTTTGGTTAACAAAGATAATAGTGTGGACATAATATACTTAAGACTTCTGCATGCCAACTGACTTGGCACTACATGACATTTTGATTAAAAACTAGGCATATGTAAAATGAACGCAGCATATATTACATGGATTAAAAACTGGCTGGGGGTCTCAAAATGTAATTGTAAAAAGGAAATCACCATCAAGCCAGTATGTTTCCAGTGGAGTCCTGAATGGATTGTTTATTGGCACATTTAACATTTGTATCAGTGACCTAGAAAAAAACAAAATGATAATTGACAGTTTGTAGAGGACACAGAAATTGCATCCATGTCATGTGAAAGCAGGAGGCAGGAGTCTGGGGGTGGAGAGTAAGTGAGACCATGTCTGGCATAGCTTCCCCCAGCCTATGATCCCTGCTGTCCTGTACAGTACCAGAGCTCAGGTAGCACAGAAATATTGATGCTCAGATCATCACAAGGCAATGGTAACCATACCCTTCCTTCCCCGAGAGAGAATCCCTCCAACCCTTAGAACAAAGTTGTGTGCTATGTAGCCTCCTCTCGCAGCACAGAACCAACCAATATGGACTCCTGTCTTAGGCACAGAGATGTGAGAGCCAATGTTGTGCACTCCCTAACTTTGCTGTCTCCTACTCCATATGCTGCAGTTACTTTTCAAGTTCAAATGGTTAACAACAGTCACCAGTTCAAATTAAGCATTTTAGAGGTTGCCAGAATTATAGATTGGTGTTGCCTCCTGGACCCAGTGGTCCTGGGTGCGTTGCTGGTGGTCCATGAACCGGAGGTGCCGCCTTTGGTACTCCTCCTC